TTAAATTAAATGTCCAGAAGAGACAAATGCACAAAGACAGGAAGTAAATTAATGGTTGCCTGAGACTAGGTAGGGAAGATATGGAATGATGGCTAATGGCGGAATAAAAATGTCCTAAAATTAGACTGAGGTGTGGTTGCACAATTCTGTGAATATACTAAAAGCCAATGAATTATACACTTTCAGTGGGTAAACTATATGTATATGAATTATATGTCAGTAAAGCTGCTAAAAATTAAAGGGAAGAACCATCATGATAAGAACATAAATAACTAAATTAGAAATAGTTTTATAACTAAGGTGATAGAATTAACTTATTCAAATGCCAAAACTAATATTTCAATAGGATGCCTCTAAATCAAAACAAATGAAAATGCAATTGCCTGAATATTTAAAAAATACATATGGGTAGCTTATTAAAAAGATGTATTTTTTTTTGTTTTTAGTCAGGTATTTGAAAAAACATGTACAGGCAGATAGTAAGGCTATGTGAAAATATGCAAGAGATTCCAAGGGGTTGCTCATTGGTTCTCTTGGATCAGAACCAATTAGAGAATGCTTACAGAAGTTGACATGCCTTTGGGACAAAATAAACTTAAACATGGCCTTATATAATTTGAAAGCTGCCACAGAGTAACGAATGAGAAATACCATTGGACAGTTTCTGAAGCTCTTGGTTGCCTTTTCCCTACTGAGATAATGTCAAATCAAACAGACTTGATCTCTCACCCAACAACTTACAGAATCCAAGAGGCCTTGGGGAAGAAAAAAAAAAGGATGATCAAGTCTCTATATCAGTGGTTCTCAACCTTGCTAATGCCATGACCCTTTATTACAGTTCCTCATGTTGTGGTGACCCCCAACCATAAAATTATTTTCGTTGCTACTTCATAACTGTAATTTTGCTACTGTTATGAATCGTAATGTAAATATCTGATATGCAGGATGTATTTTCATTGTTAAAAATTGGACATAATTAAAGCATAGTGATTAATCACAAAAACAATATGTAATTATATATGTGTTTTCTGATGGTCTTAGGCGACCCCTGTGAAAGGGTTGTTCGACCCCCCAAAGGGGTCTCGACCCACAGTTTGAGAACCGCTGCTCTACATTAAGATATTTGGATGGACTAAAACAAGCATGTCAAACTCGCAGCCCACAGGTCGCATGTGACCCACAACAAATATTTTTGCAGCCCAGCCAATATAACAGTATGTAGGAAATGTTTTAATAAAAATTTCATAACTTAATTTTTACAATATCCTGTTATACATAATTATTAATAACGAACTACAATGTTCACTAATGACTGATTACTATAATCGTGTTGCATTCATTCCCCTTACGCACCTTATGCGCAGGCGCACCATTTCTCTCCACTAATACTAGCAGAGAATATTTTAGCAGCCGATTGCCATGTCATTAGTCTTGGACTGACTTGTTTGGTGTGCACAACAGGAAATATTTCACTTTCAGAGAACATGAAAAATAGATTTATTTGCATTACTTATTAATTTGTCCAGTTATTCATAGTCTGATAAGTCAATGTTCAAGAAAAAATATTAATTTTTATTAAATGTTCATAAAATATTATTTTATGTTAATGATTACTCACTTAGCCCTTTGTATTCAGCATGTCTCTATCGAAATAAACCTACGTGTCTATGAAATTGAAGCTTTTGTTTTTTTGCGGCCCACTTAACTTAAACCTTGTTTATTTTGCCCATGTTAGCCTTTGAGTGTGACATGCTTGACTTAAAGCCTTGGAAGATTGCTAATAGTACAATGATTGATAGAATTTAATTTAATACTTAGTGTATTTTCTGAAAGTAAATATTGTATCAAATGTAGGCAGGAGGACCCTTAACTTCTATTAGTATTAAACCTAAATATTTTACTAAAGCCACCTTTGTTAAAACAATAAAAATTATATTTTACTCCAGTAATATTTATACATCATAGTATCATTATCATTTATTTAAAGCCAAGTTATATAAACTTGGTAGTATATAAAGAATACAGGGTGGGCAAAAGTAGATTTACAGTTGTGAGTATGTGAAAGTTTGTTCTTGTATTATTAATTATAATAATAAATTACTGTATTTATTTGTATTATAATTGTAAACCTACTTTTGTCCACTATTTGTTAATTTGTTATTTTAATTAAAAATTAAATATAATTTAACAGTTCTTAATTTTATTTTGAATTATTGTCTTTTCTGTGCACTTCTTTAAATCCAGCTCTATTCTAAAAGTTGTTTTCAAAAAATAACTTTTTCCAAATGAGGTAGTATTTTCTTTCTTTGAAATTCTAGAACTATTAACCCAACCTACTTTATAGTCATGTTTTGTGAATCATTTTAGTAGCTAGAAATATTTTTTCAGAAAGCTTGATTTTTTAAAATATATATTTTAAAATGTTTAATTTAGTGAATACTGTGAACATTTTTCTTTTAAGGAACAAATTTAAAACATATAATTAAAAAAAACAGGCAGACTTGGAGTTAGGAGAAATGTATCATGGCTTCAGAAATACCCCTTGCCCAGTTACATTTGAAACCTTAAATTCTTTTGGAATCAAATTTTAAAATAATATGTATTGTATATTGATTTATATTGATATTTTTATATTGATTTCAGAGAGGAAGGAAAAAGGAAAGAGAGAAACATCAATAATGAGAGAATCATTGATCAGCTGCCTCCTGCACGCCCCCTAATGGGGATTGAGCTGAAACTGAGGCATGTGCCCTGACGGAAATCAAACCATGACCTTCTGGTTCATAGATCGACCCTCAATCATTGAGCCAGACCAGCTGGCTGGACTCAACTTTTAATGTAAGATGGGCTTACTCTGCAGCCAATTCTGTCTCCAAGATCCTATTATTCTTCAATGCCTATTCTATAAGAAAAGAGCAAGAGGAATGTAGAAGACCACAACTTGACATTCACAACTTTGCACCTGCAGAGATCTTTCTTTAAAACATATCACTGATGTTTAGAGACAAGGGTAACCCATTTTCAGAGAAGACTCTCCTCAGTTCTTCTGCTTGACTCACAAAAGCAATATTGTCCATAATGAAAATTAAGATATTTTAAATTACATATTGAGTCAAAATCTAACAAATCTTCACGAAACAGTAAGAATTAAGCACTTGCTTTTACTTGAAGATCCTCAGAGCTTTCTGCCGACATGTACAAAGAAAGCAGCACTGGCAGAATGTTTGTGACTGCGACGGCCCGTGCATGCTCCGGAGTGTGTCTCCCGATCTGTGCCAAGGCCCAGGCAGTGGCAGCCTTAATGTGATCCTCCGGTTCTTCTGACAAGCAGGCTGACAACTGGGGCACACCCTGCAGCATTGATCAAAAGAGCAAGTGTTATGAATCCAGAGCAGGATTAAATAGTCTCCCGTGTCTCTCAAACATTAGAAGAAATCATTGGGCCTTGATCTTTTCCCCTAGATGGTTCAATAAATGAGCACAGCACAGGGCTGTCATTTTTCAAGTCAATAAAATGACTAGAACAAATTTACCTTAATTATCTGTTCCAATCCAACTAAACTATCTCTGCTAGCATTTACTCACCAAATACAGAGGTATTTAACCAAACAATAGATGCCACAGATTAGTGTATAGGCAAAGCCAGATTCCACTGTGACAAATTTGAATGCTTAGATTTTAAAATCTTTTATTTTACTTTGCTAAAAAACTTAATTTAGAATCCTTTAAAATGGCCTTTTCACTAAGTATAATAGATCTGACAACAAAATAACTATTAGAGATTTGAAATCCAATGAATAATATGAGCCAGAATCCTACTTAAGTAACTTTTAGATTAAATCTGCTTACTAAGACCTTTCCTGAACTAGTAAATAAATGTCCATTAAATTTGGTCAGCTTTTTTTTTTTTTATATATTTTATTGATTTTTTTACAGAGAGGAAGGGACAGGGATAGAGAGTTAGAAACATCGATGAGAGAGAAACATCACCAGCTGCCTCCTGCACACTCCCCACTGGGGATGCGCCCGCAACCAAGGCACATGCCCTTGACCAGAATCGAACCTGGGACCCTTCAGTCCGCAGGCCGACGCTCCATCCACTGAGCCAAACCGGCCAGGGCAATTTGGTCAGCTTTTATTTTATTTTGAATATGTTTTTAAATTTATTTTAGAGAGGGAGGAAGGGAGAGGAGAGGAGAAGAGAGAGGAGAGGAGAGGAGAGGAGAGGAGAGGGAGAGAGGAGAGGAGAGGAGAGGAGAGGAGAGGAGAGGAGAGGAGAGGAGAGGAGAGGAGAGGAGAGGAGAGGAGAGGAGAGGAGAGGAGAGGAGAGGAGAGGGAGGGGAGGGGAGGGGAGGGGAGAGAGAGAGAGAGAGAGAGAGAGAGAGAGAGAGAGAGAGAGAGAGAGAGAGAGAGAGAGAGAAACTTCCATGTGAGAGAGGAATCATAGATGGGCTGCCTCCTGCATGCCGTGCTGGGGATTAAGCCCTCAACCCAGGCATGTGCCCTGAGCAGGAATTGACTGGTGACCTTTTGGTGTATGGGATGATGCTCAACCAGGGCTTGGTCAACTTTTAAGTGATAGTTTTGCCCATTTTAACATGACTGAATGTCAAAGTAGAAATTATTACTCTTGTTACACAAATAGTGCGTGCTTGCATTTTGCATTTCAGGCTTCAGTTTTATCTAAATAATCAAAACAGAATTAACTAAAAGGCCTCAAATACATCTGTTTCTATAGCTAAGGAAGAATCAAAATGCCAAATCAAATTATAATTCCAGATTCTGTATAGGAATAACTTTCTAACTAATTTGAGACTATACTGGTAATAATTATCACCTTAAATTTAGTACCACTAAAGTCAATGTCACAGTATCATGCTACCATAGCAAAATCCAAATGATCATGTACACTTTTCCCATCTGTGCCTTTAAATTTGATTATTAAGACCAATTTCCTCAAGAGACCTGCCATATTTCTTCATTGGCTTCTCTTTTTCCAGCTAAAAATGCCTATCTGCCAATACAAAAGGTCAGACCTGTCTTCAGAATGAGGCAACCTTCTAGAACGCCCATGCTCTGGGACATATCAAGACTGAAGAAACAGGAGGAAACGAGGTCAGCCTCCTCCGCCCCAGCCTCAGTTGTTATGGATGGCTAACGAGATAAGAAGCATGAATGTGCTTTGACAATTATGAAGCATTATTTACATGTGAAGCGCTGCTATTAGTCCTTAGAGTCCTATGCAGGAAGAAGAACGACACATAGCTGTGCGGTTTCTCTCAACGGAGACCTTCAACTAACTGAGCGACAGCGAGGTGGGAGAGGCCAGCAGCAGCCCTGGACCAAAGGCGGGGGGGGGGGGGGGGGGGGGGGGGCGGGGAGGCGCCTTCTGGTTGGCTTGGGGAGGAAATACAGGAAGCAAAAGCAATTGCTGCTGCTTTCCTCATTCTGCGTATATTTAAGCTTTCTGTGATCCACAAAAGAACCAAGAATCAGAAATCCCAGCGATACCCCGCAATGACCCTTAAGAAAGCAGCGCTCCTGTTCTCGTCACTGTCATAGTTTTTAGTAATAGAAGAACAAGAGGAACAGCGTAGGGTAAAAAGTGAGGTAAGCAAAAAATTATCAAGGAATAGGTAGGAAATAAAGATCTGAGGCTCCCTTTTATTCTGAGGATTTGCAAGGGATAAAAATACCCACACGCTGTTTAACATGCAGCAGTAGGTTTTCTATGCTGATAAGAAACCCGCACCCTAAGGGGCTGCTGGAGACACTGTAAGCACACAGCCTCTGAAGCGTTTCTCGGGAGATCAAGAATTATTAATTTAATCAATAGTTCTGGGCACCTATTATGTTCCAGAGCTACACTGTATGGTGTGTTAATACCAACTTGTAAATTGAAATGAGGCCAAATTCGTAGCGCAAAGGCACAAAACATCACTGTCTGATATGTACTCTGAATTGCCTACATCTAAAAAGAGAAATTAGTTCATGAAAGCTGAAGGAAAGTGGATAAAAAGGGATGTCCTAGCCATTGTCATCTCCTGCCCAAATGGAAGATAAGGGGAGCATGACCCCTGGGCATGTAATTTATAACAATAGCCTTTAGTCAAAGTATGCTTCACATGTTTGTAAGTATATAGTCAATCCTCAGGATACAAATACACTGACTATGTCAATAAAGGTAACACTAATACTCAAGGCATGGATATTTTGTAGATATTAAATACTGAATAAAACTTTAAACTGCCCAAAAGTAAACCTTACTCCAAGCCCTGCTTTTGGAAACTTACTGATGAACCTTGAATAATTCTCCAGGTTTCTTTCTCTCTGGCCAGTTACATTTTATAATCGGTGGGAGAGTATTACTATGGTCTGTCTTAGAATATCTCACTGCAATAACTAGAAGAAAACCAAGCAAGAACAAACCTTGCTAATGATCACCGCCATCGCCAGGTTCTCAGAATGAGCCGCCACGTAACCAAGCATCATGATGCCAGGCAGCCGTATGTTTCCTTTGCAAGACCCAATGCAGTCAATCACGGCCGCGACTCCTCCCGCGTTCACTATCAGCTGCGAGAGCTGGGGGAAAGGAAGGTGACGGTAAAGCGTAAGATGATCTTTAAACATTACTATTGTCAAACATTTTTACTTAGGACCTGAAAACACCTGGTAAAATTTGAAATACGATTTAATGAAATTACTATACTTATTAAAAACATACAAATAAAATAATCCATTTTTTGGTCAATCCTCACCCAAGGATATTTTTCCATTGATTTTTTTTCTTTTAATCTTTATTGTTGAAAATATTACATAGGTCTTTTTTCCCCCATTAACCTCTTCCAGCCCACCCCCTTCCTCCCCCCCGCCCCACACCCAAGCCCTCACCACCCAATTGTCTGTGTCTATGGGTTATGCATATGTGCATACACGTTCATTGGCTGATCTCTTCCACTCACCCTCCCCTGACTTTCCTTTGAGGTTCAACAGTCTGTTCATGCTTCTATGACTCTGGGTCTATTTTTGATCATCAGTTTATTTGGTTCATTAGAGTCCACATATGAGTGAGATCATGTGATACTTATCTCTGACTGGCTTATTTTGCTTAGCATAATACTCTCCAGGTCTATCCATGCTGTTGCAAATGGTGAGAATTCTTTCTTTTTTATTGCCGAGTAGTATTCCATTGTGTAAATGTACCATAGTGTTTTTATCCACTCATTTGCTGATGGGCACTTAGGCAGTTTCCAAGTCTTAACTATTATAAATTGTGCTGCTATGAGCATAGGAGTGTATATATTCTTTCTGATGAGTGTTTCAGATTTCTTAGGATATATTCCTAGAAGTGGGATGACTGAGTCAAATGGGAGTTCCATTTCTAATTTCTTGAGGAAACTCCATACTGTCTTCCACAGTGGCTGCACCAGTCTGCATTCTCACCAGCAGTGCATGAGGGTTCCCTCGTCTCCACAACCTCTCCAACACTTGTCCTTGGTTGATTTGTTGATAATAGCCATTGTGATAGGTGAGAGATGTTACCTCATTGTTGTTTTGATTTGCATCTCTTGGATGATTAGTGACTTTGAGCATTTTTCATGTGTCTCTTAGCTTTCTGTAAGTCCACTTTGGAGAAGTGTCTATTTAGGTCTTTGCCCATTTTTTAATTGGATTGTTTGTCTTCCTTTTGTTAAGTTGTATGAGTTCTCTACATATTTTGGAGATTAACCCCTTATCAGGTATCATTGGCAAATATGTTCTCCCATGTAGTGGGCTCTCTTGTTATTTTGATGATGGTTTCTTTTGCTGTGAAGAAACTTTATTTTCATGTAGTCCCATTTATTTTCTCCTTAATTTCCATTATCCTAGGAGATGTATCGGTAAACATATTGCTATGAGAGATGTCTGAGATTTTGGTGCCTATGGTTTCTTTTAGGACTTTTATGGTTTCATGTCTTACATTTAAGTCTTTTATCCATTTTGAGTTTATTCTTGTGTATAGTGTAAGCTGGTGGTCTAGTTTCATTTTTTTTTTTTTTGCATGTGTCTGTCCAATTTTCCCAACACCATTTATTGAAGAGACTGTTTCTGCTTCAATGTATGCTCTTATCTCCTTTGTCAAATATTAATTGAGCATAGTGGGTTGGGTCAATTTCTGGGTTCTCTGTTCTGTTCCATTGATCTATAATTAATCCAATTTTGAATGTACAAATATAGTCACTCTGTGGAGTTTATTCTGTGCTTCAATTTTCATGCACCGATGGCACAACTTTCATACCTATTCTAATGGATGTCAAAATTTCTCACCCAGACACTAATAAGTCTAGGGCTAGTTCCTAACTTGCTAACTACTGAAAGCCCCAATCGCAATTAGTGAGTATGAAGCAGATTACTCATTGAATGCTGAATGACAATGTCAGACTTGAAATATCTTAGCCTAATTATCCCCCTTTGCAAACAGTGGTTACTAGCTGATTATTACACTTCAATTATAAAAAATTTCAAGCAAGTGAAGATGTTAGGTGAAATAAAGAATGAGGACTTTAAATTTTAGTGAAAGGACAGGACAGCCCCCCGCAGCAAAGAATCACCTACTGCAAACTGCACGGTGCCCACAATGAGCAGCCCTGCCCTGCCCAAGCCACGTGGTGCAGCACCTGGGCTTTTTTTTTTTTTTTACCTCTGGTGTATGTTTTGCAATCTCTCGAATTAAAGTGGAAGCATTTTTCTTCACATATTCATCTTTGTCCTTCAGGCAGGTAAGTACAACTGGAAAAATCTCTGCTTCAACCACCATTTCGGCCAGATCCACAGAATGTTTTGCAATCTGACTGAGAGCTGAAAGGACCTGACGCTATTGAGCAAAACCCAAAATGAAACAAAGCATTACATAGAGTCCACTGCAGAGATCAGATATAATTTAAGCAGCTTAATACAAATTCCTTTATAAAAAGAAAAAACAACTACATATGTAACATAACATAAGATTTCTGAGTCTTGAGACATTCACATCCTAGACTTAAACCTAAATACTCAATTTCTTGAATTCCCTAATTTCCACATTAAATGTCATAGTTTTCTGTGGTCTATTTAAATCTCTATCACAGATGATCAAGAATATGAACTCCGGATAAATACTATTTCTTAATTATGTAATACTTAAACTGTAATACAGTACAAAAAAAATCAGGCAGCCCTGACCGGTTTGGCTTACTGGATAGAGTGTCGGCCTGCAGACTGAAAAGTCCCAGGTTCGATTCTGGCCAAGGGCATGTACCTTAGTTATGGGCACATTCCCAGTGGGGGGTGTGCAGGAGGCAGCTGATCGATGTTTCTCTCTCATCGATGTTTCACACTCTCTCCCTCTCTCTTCCTCTCTGTAAAAAATCAATAAAATATGTTAAAAAAATGATTTAAAAAAATCAGGCAGAATGACCATCTCATGTTTGGCATGATGCCAACAATATTTCAAAGAACTTTCTATTGCTTAGTTAACATTAACAATTTAAAAATATTAAAGATATAACTAACCATTAGCATATAATAGTATAATTGGAGACTATTAACTGAAAATCAGATTTAGAAACCTATAAAAAAGATAAACATAAATATATGACAATTTTCATAATAAACAAATACCAGTGGTGAGCTAGAAAACCTTTAGGTGCCTTCCCACTCTGAGATTCAATGATTTTGTGATTCCTTATTTTAGTGATTAATGTTAATACTGATGCTACTTCTACTTTTTAGCACTGCACAGATTTTCCCCAGTCATGTCTTTATTATGTAATCCTTACAGCATATTTTTCACATATGAAAAGACCAGATACATAACATAGTCATATCTGTTTTCAATGATAATTTACAAATTATTTTTGAAAATACATGAATCTGTACACATTTTCCATTTTCTTAGATTAACAGAAGCCTGTTTTTTAACTTATTTTTAAATACCTTCAGTTTAGCATCCGGGTTCAGAATCATCTGAGCTAAGTGAGCAATAGCTCCTGCATCCACTACTGTCTGTGCCAGCTCTGGCGAATGCTTCGAAATATCACTGAGGTCCGAAGCAGCAATCCTTTTCAAAGCAATTTCCGGCTCCTGGATACAAAGCACTAACAGAGGAACTGCTCCCGCATCCACCACAGCTTGTGACAGTTCTGTGGGCCCAAGAAAAGGAAGTGAGTATGGGTGACTGACCCTTGTGCAAGCCATTCTTCTCCCTGACAGATACAGCAAAGAAAAAAAAGGGGAGGTAGTTCACTGTCTAGACATCTGTATTTGTTTCATAAACCATGTGGACCAACCTGGAGCTGAAAAGAATATAGGTCAATAGCT